GATAATCAGCACATACTAGTAGTAGTCCTAGTAGTAGTAGTAGAAGTACCACCACCAAGAACAGTTGCCTTTCCTGCAACTTTGACTTTGTTTGCTTTTTCAACTTCATCTAGGTCTGGCCTATGTCTACCATACTTTCTTCTGGATGCTGTTGACAGTGTTGTTGTTTTTCTATAACAACCTCAACAGTAGAATCTTCGAGTAAATCTGCTACTAAGGAATAATAATATTAATAATTATCAGTAGGGCCCATATAAATAAAATTGTATACTGTAATATTGCTAGACCATGGATGTTATATATATATATATATAGGTCTATATATATATATATATATATATATATATATATATAGGCCTATATATAATATAATAATAATAATTGATAATGACTTAATTAATAATAGTGAGTACTTACGAGTTATAATAGAATGATGGCCTAGGCCTATATGATGATATCTAATCCATACATTCAAACAGAACAATTAAATTACGTAATCTACTACTACTACTACTACTACTCGGTGTCGGTCAATCTGTACCCAAACCAACCCGTACCCATACCAACCCGTACCCACTTTGGTCAAACCGTACCCAAATTTAGGTCAATCCGTACCGGCCACGTTTGGTCAATCCGTACCCACGTCATTTTAGTCAACCCGTACCCAAAATATATTTGTATCTGTACGATCTCGTACGGTCTGTAAGATTGTCGTTGCCGCTAATATTATTAAGGTAAGTTTTCTCTCTGGGCCTTTTTTTTTTTTATCTTTTCTCATAATTTCAATTTTATTTTGAAACAAGTAACCAATTTTTTAAAAAAACAGTGAAATTAACGAAAAAATAGACAAGAAAGCATGTTCCTAGGGTTGCACGTAATCAGTATACATTTATACTCAAGTTACGTTTATTCCCAGAATAATCCATCGTTTGGTAATTAAGACTATAATTGCACCAGTAGGCTCTATAGCAGGACACGGATCTGCTTCTTCGCACACATGCACTGATCCGGCATTGCGCATGAGCAAATTCGGATGGAACCCTAGATGTGTATAAGAGACAGCATATATATCATATATATATATACATACATATATATACATACATATATACATACATACATATATATATAAAATATATATAATATATATATATATATATATATATATATATAAAATGAAAATGAAGCAGTGTACAATCATTGAAAGTTGTCTTGCAGAACACACATTTATTAACAAAACGGATATTTCGATATATATTTATAATTGATACATTACATCATTTTCCACTGTACATATACATAGACCTAACAATAATAATTTAAAATTATAACTTCTTAACTATACATAGGCCTAACAATAATAATCTAAAATTATAACTTCTTAAAGTACGTAGGCCTAACAATCTAAAATTATAATTTCTTAATTATACGTAGGCCTAACAATAATAATATAAAATTAAATTTGGGTACGGTTTGTGGGTACGGGTTGGCATGGGTACGGTTTGGCTGTAATTCACTACTACTAGGCCTGGGCTAGGCCTATACCTTTAATTTCTGTGTTAAAAGATCGTAAGATCTTCGATCCCTGCTTGTTCCATTTATCATACATCTTATTTCTTCGTCTCCTCTTACGGTGAGAAGAAGTTTAATTTTTTTTTGAGTCCACTGAACAGTTGTTCGATTCATGTTTGGTCAGAGAGTTCGATGTTGTTTAATTTGTCGTCTGAACTTTCACGAAGTTTTTCGTAATTTGCGCCCCTCCCCAAAGCAAATCAAAACAACTCTAGGCCTATAATTACTACGAGGCTAGAATAATTTATTGATATTAAAAGAACTTTCAAAAATAAAATTACATATATTTGCAAATATATACAATTATTAATCTTATTCCCTTTAACTTGCACAGGATTTTTTTTTTATCATTCGTGGGGAACACCCACCTTTATTTAAACAGTTTTACATAGTTTCTTTATCATCATCATCATCATCATCATCATCATCATTTACATATAAAAATACATTCCTCAATAAACCTATGCCTAATAAAATACAACAAAATAACCTTGATATTTAGTAACAATATTAAAAATAAAATACAAATTTCAACTTTTCACAATAAAAATGGAAGAAAGAACATTGAAGATCCCATTATATAATATGAGGCAAGTCATTAATATGAAGCACATCATTATACATCGTAAGCTTTACAACCAAAATTCTTCTTTTAATCATAGATTCGTTAGCATTAAGGCCATTTATAAAATATGAGGATTAAAAAAAAATACAGAGATCAATGCGCAAAAAAAGTATCAAAACGTACAAAGGAGTAAAAAGACATTACTTTAATTTTTAAGAAAGCGTTATAGATAATGTCTGTTATTTTTTTCAGTTAGAAAGAGGGTATAAAGTGATCTATATCGCCACTTGTTGAGGGCTTTTAAAATATTTGCCTTGTAGATAGAAAAAATGCCAAGTGAGAATAGATGGTCAACATATGTGTTGCCAATTCCAAGAATGATGTTCTTAAAATGTGCATTGTATCCGTACGTAATACTAAAACTTTCAATGTATTGCCATGGCTGGTTTGCCTCAGTGCATTTATTTAAAAAAAAAAGGTGTACATCATCTTCAACAACATTACATATTGGACACATATTGGAATCTAAGATTCCCCACATAAACAATCTTTTCCTTGTGGGAACGATATTGTGTAAAATTTTAAAATTCAATTGTGCTAATTTGTTTTCTTTAATTGATTTTACTTTCCATGTCCAAGTTGACTGCCAGTCAACTGAGGACTCAAAAATATTTTCCCACTTTTTTTTTGGCACTTTGAAGGTTCCATATAAATTTGGTTAGTAAAACAGATATAAAATTATTTACCGTTCATATTGCACCAATCATTTTGTGGTCTAGTATTTCCTGACCGCCCACCATTCCCTTCTTTACCAAAGGAAATAAATGTTTTCCATGTGCTAGGAATGGCACTCAGCAAACAAGAGTATTCTGAGATCCAGTTGGACCTGAGTTGTAGTTTTGTCAGTATCTCAAATGTAATCTATTGCCTATCACTATCTCTAATAGTATTTATACCTGATCTAATCCAATTTCTAAACAGCAAGGAAAGCCCATTAAATTTAATCATTTTATTACCCCAAATTTGTTCGTCTAACACTTCTTCATAGCAAGTGATGAAGAACATACTGATTCAGGTGTGCTAAATCGTAAAGTAACGTTTGATAAAATGTAGGTATTTTCTTTAGAACTTGCCATTTCTTTCATAATGAAATGTTCATAATAATATTCTGTGGACCAATTTTTTTCTAAGATCCAAAGAGGTAGATATTTCCACATGGCTAGATCTTTATTGTAAAGACGCTTAAGCCAAGCAATTTTCAAACATTTAACCTGTGACCTGAAGTCAGGAGCTTTTATGCCTCCAAGGCTGTAATCACCAATTAGTGTTAGTCTTTTTATTTTTTCTGTCTTCTTATTCCACAGAAAATCAAAAATAATCTTTTCAACTTGTTTTATATAAAGCTCTGGCATTTCGATAATACTTGCATTGTTTATAAGTTTTGCAAGTCCAAGTGTTTTTAATATTGTAACTTTTCCGAAAAATGTCAAGTTTCTTTTTTGCCATGAAGAAAGTAGGTGTTTTAATGATTCGATTTTTTCAGACCAGTTTTTGGTGCGACAAAAAAGTTTAATTATGACCAACATAAACACCAAGTATTTTAAAGCCATTGTAAACCCACTTTATGTCAAACGGTTCATCTTTTCTTGTTTTCCATTTACCTAACCACATGGCATTTGTTTTCTTTTTGTTAAGGCTTAAACCAGAAAGCTTTCCAAACTCTTCAATTTTTTTAATCCCCAACTCATCTTTCACAAACAGTACCGTATCATCAGCTAGTTGGGCTATTTTGACTTCAATAATTAAGTCTTCTTTACTTGGTAATATGATACCATTAATCAGAGCATCACTTCTTAATTTTATTGCCATGATTTCTGCAACCATTATAAACAGCAGAGCAGACAGAGGACAGCCTTGTCTGATGCCCCTATTCATTTTAAAACTTCTAGATAGCCAACCATTATTCGTTATAATGCATTCCGTTTCAGTATACAAAACATTGACCCAATCAATGAATGATGGGCCAAAGTTAAAGTGACGAAGCGTTTCCATCATAAAATCCCTGTTTACCGTGTCGAATGCTTTACTAAAATCCAAGCTAACCATTGCGCCTGTTAACCTTTCTTCATTCGTGTATTCGATCAAATCCTCTATTAATCTAATGTTTTCGCCACCGAAACGACCTTTTATATAACCTTTTTGATCATTACTAACTATACTGGTTAGAACGTTTTGTAATCTTTTTGTTAAAACAAAGGCAGCTATTTTGTAATCTATATTCAGGAGAGTTATAGGCCTCCAGTTGTTTAAGTCTTCATGCTCACCCTTTTTAAAAATAAGATTGATTACGCCTCTACGTTGTGAGTGGGACAACGATCCAGTTTTCAGGCTCATGTTAAGAGCATCGCACACTATTGGACCAATTTTTGCACAGGATTACGGAATATTTATAATTAAATTAGTGTAACTAAATTAAGTACTGAGCGAGTGAGGATGAGAAAATTTTGCCCTTTGACCACAAAACAATCCGGAATCAAATTCGTTGTTGTTTACACTGGTACCTCCGGGTTGTATACTCGGGTTGTACCCGGGCTGCTCTACGCTGAATGTGTCCCGCACGTCCATCCCGGAAAATTTGGTAACCCGAGTAGGACTTTTTGACGTTTACATTAGCCAGAACTCGGGAGATTTTTACCCGGGTAATAAAAAATCCCGGGTTACGTCCGGAATTTTGCTTGCAGTGTAAAAGGGGTATTAGATGCTGCTGGGATGCAGCCACATGCTGAAATCAACGAATGTTTGCGTGATCGGCGTTCCATAACGACTCGGCAGCAGAGAGGCGCAGCTGCTGCGCACAGCAAGTGTCAACTCTGAGTCTTGAGTTCCCCAGCACGGCACGTCATAATAGAGAGTGGCAGCGGTTGCAGATACGTCGATCTCTTCAGCTCTTTTGAGGTTTTGGGGAGTGCTTGTTATTTTTAATGTCCAAATGTGGGTTAATTTTTTTTAACTCTTGTATTACTGGGACAGCCTAACGATTATCCTCCTAGCTAGGCCTAGGCTAGGTGTGGTTAGGCCTACTACTAAGCCCTAGCTAGGCCTATGTATGCCAGGCGATCTAATAGTAGGCCTCAGTTAGGCTAGGATAGTGACCTAGCCTAGAGGCCTAGCTGTTAGTGTTAAGTAAGCCAATGCAAGGAGGAGGGCTCCCTAACCTCGCTAGCTAGACAAGACGATGCAGTATCACTGTGGAAGTAAGTTGAAAACGAAAACAAAATATACAGACAGTAGTTGATTCTGTCTAGGCCTAGCTAGGCCCTAGGCCTATGTGTTGTTTGTTCTAAAAAATATTATAAAAAATAGTTTTATCAAAACCCAAATATGAAAATTGTGTCCAATTATACCACGTTCTGAACAAAACAGGCTACAGTACCAACACATAGTTTATTCTAGGGCCTACTAGTAGTTTGGATACAGTTTTATCCTCCAATTCGAGACCCCTTGAATTTCACGACCCATCAGATTTGAGACTAGGCCTACTTCCTTAAAACAAGTACTGTACAAACTAACAATCTTCAATCTTAAGGCAAAGCCAATTTTTTAATTGGAGACTGAACCAGAAGACCAATACCAACCCCAGACTTAACAGTCCCAAAGGTTGTATCCTTGGAGGGCGAACTGTATTTTATATTTAAACCAAGCGACTTCTTGATTTTTAACAGAATGTCAACCTACTCCATCCTCTATGGATCCAGCAGACGTTCCACTCTAGGAAGCAGCTCTGTGGAACATTCATCAGATCACAAGTTTCTGCAGGCTGCAAATTATCTAATGTCAGATGGCGATCCAAAAGCTCTTGATGTAACATCAGTCACATACAACAACGAATTTGTAGTAAAGATGCCAAAAGACACTTCCACTCCCACTGTAGCAGACAAGGATAAATGGACGTTCTTGGGATTGCCTGTTTATGAATGGCCAGTTTGGTTGCAACTAATTTTCCTGATTGGTGGTGTTTTCATTTTCTACCTCTTCTATGGATACATGCAGGTACATAAAGTTGGGTTTATTATAAAATATGATACAGTAATTCTTGATGATACTGTATGTCCTCTATAACTCATAAATTATGTTGAGTTGCTTTGGTGTTGTCTTTGCCTATATTCCTATATTATTGTATGTAAATAAATTATTTAAATGATATTCAAATGTCATTTATTTTCAGAAGAACATGTGATTGTGATGTAATAATAATATAATGTAATTAGGTGTATAGCGCTTTACCCTGGAGTCTTAAAGCGCTTGAGGTCTGAACCAGCTCATCTAGTAACTTCCTTCTCCCCTTTAACGGTCAGTTTCTGTCGGAGCTACCCTGTAAACTTATACTGCTATTCTCATCTGTTGGTTTGCATATAATAATTATATATATTAGGTAATTGGTTTTAGAGATTAAAACCATGCCTGATCATTTCGGCTGTTGAACCAACAAAGAGTTGTCGAAATGTCATTGTACGGGCCATCCTCTGGAAATGTAAAGGTAGGGTTATGGTTCAACTTCCAGAACCAATCATATCTCCAATATCTACATAGACCTCCATCAATGGTCTGTGTTCTCCTTTTCTATACAGTCCCTCATCAAAAGCTCTATTTTTCTTTTCCCCCCCCCCCTCCACCAACATTCTATGTGTGCTGCTAACCACCTCCAAACAGCTCTCAATCACTAAAAAAAAACAAAAAAAAACAGTAAAATATTTATACTGTCTTCTGAAACTAGTATTAGACTATTTATTTAATGGAATTCTTGATTCCTAATTTGCCTTACCCTGTTCCTTTTCAGAGGTAACATCGCTGGCAATTTTGAAATTGCACAGTAGTCGAGCTGCATGCTACTATATGGCAGAAGTTTCTGTTGCCTATTCGGCCGTCCCGAGGCAAAATAATGTAACTGACATTTTGAGAGATTTGGGAGTATATTAAACATGCCTGAATTACCTGTCAAACTTTCAGGTCTCAATAATGAGTTGTTTCGGAGGGCACCCCCTATCTTTAAGCACAAAACTTAAAATCCAGTGATTTTCCGTGGTAAAGCAACGTAACTACAAGATTATGCGGCAAAACAACGTATCTATGATGAAGATACGTTGTTTTGCCATGAAATGCTATTCAAAAATGGTCTAGAGCCGATGGAGTTTTGCAAGGCAAAATCAAATGGTTATTGGTGATTTTATATCAATAATCTTAAACAGCGTTGTATGAACAGGCTAGGTAATGCATATGATTGCACCAAACGTGATAAATTTCAAAAATATGTCGCACTTGCAACAATACCGAGCCTGAGAACTCTATTTTTCTCCAAAAGTGTAAATTTAAAATTAGGTTGTTTTGCCACGGAACGGCCGTATTTACTTGTTTTGTGTGCTGTAAAGTCTTGTATTTTAACATAAATCTTTTGTTTTTTTAGGAACTTATATTTCAATTAGAGGGAATGAAATCATACGGTTGGTTCCTGACTTTAATCCAGTTTATTTGCTACTCTATATTTGGAGCCACTGATCTTAGTTTAAAGACAGATAGGAAAAGAAAGTAAGTAGTTAGCAGGATTCAAATTTCCCAACAGCACCGACAGCAGTTGCTGTAGAAAGGGCCTTCCTCTGCTGTTTTAGATCCCAGGCTCGACAGCTTGGTTTTTGCTGTTGAGTGCCTGATCCAGGCCTAGCAATTAATTATACAATTACACTTATAGATTAGGTCTAAGGTATTCTTAAAACAATTTACGAAGTAAAATAACTTTTATCTTTATTATACCAATTAGAGACCAACTAAAGACCATGGAGACCCCAGTCTCTGAAATGGTTGGGGGGGGGGAGACCTGTACAATTATTTATGGGTTTTTATTCTTTCATTAAGTTATGATTTATTTCAAATAAATGAGCCAATTATGAAAATATGATTCTATTCCATTAATAAGCTCTATTATTATCTATGTGTTTTGCCAGCCACAATGCCTTAAAAGTACTTAAGCTTAATCATGTTAGGTGCACACAAATTGCACTTAATTAAGCTTAATATTTTAAAACTTCAATAAAAAAAATTATGTAAAAAGAACAGAAATTATTAACCAATGCACACATTGATAATTATCTGTTTTCCCTACAGAATACCATTAATGACATATTTATTATTAGCATTCCTTACCGTCTCAACGATGGGCTTATCAAACGCATCTCTTGGATACTTGAACTACCCAACTCAAGTTATTTTCAAATGCTGTAAATTGATACCAGTAATGATTGGTGGAGTACTAATCCAAAGTAAGTATTATTTTTTAGAAAAAAAAAGCTATTTTGATGGCTTCAGTTTGCCAGATGATGGTATAATGATTTAAGATATTTAGACCAAAAACAAATTGTTTTCCATGTAACATCTTAATATATATTATTAAAGTCTTCATACATTTTCATTGTTACCTTACCATTTGGATAATTGCCGGATATGAAATGACTAACTTCAGATGCTTTTAAATTATGTGAAATTTTATTATAACTTAGTATACGATAGGTAACTGATTTAGATCAATATAGGTGGATTTCTTCATTCAGCGCCCCACTCGCCCCCTTAAATTTTGAAAAAAAAAAAAAAAAAAAATTCATATTTAAGTCCAAGAAGTGTGCCATTTCCAGCCATCTAGAGGTGCCATATCAATAGTTTGTGACTTAGCACCAGTGACTGTGGG